AGTACCAGATAGTAATGACCCCTATAACAATAAAAGACACGCATTTATACGACCACCCACATACCCCTTACATACCCCTTACCTTCACATAGGCTGTGGAAGTATTCGACAGTGTGCGCCACAACAACTTCAGAACGACCCCAGTCACCAGACCAAACGACTTCCGCACATCTCCTATCGCTGATCGTGATTTGAGACGGATCAATACCCCCACATCGTATTCCTTCAACACGGGCCAAGCCACTACAACACAAGCGAGGACGCCTGTTGCCGTGTCGCAAAGCGGGCTCTCACAGCGCGTGCACGCTACACACGCGCATGGTGCCTATAGGTGATCAGTGACCATGTCTCTGTAGGTAACCGTGCCTCTATAGGCGACCGTACGTTCTGTGTCTGAGGATGAATATACGCTTATTAGAACGTTGCTAGATGTATGCGCCCAGCGGTTTGGTTATGACCAGCCCGACCGCTTCCCAAACTCAGATGGTGCACTTCGGTGTGTCTGACACTGACCGAATCTGAGCCCGTACTTCGCAGGCTATCACTGGGCTCTATGCAGAAGCAGGTCTGCACTGTATGAGACCAGCGCTGGAGTTTGGACCACCGGGGCTACTCACAATCCAAATGTCGTCTTCTCGTCGGATAGCATTAGTACATATACGCTGGTACGGGGCACCGGCCAAATCTGCGGGGAGGTTTGTATCGCAATAGGTGTGAGATTGCTTCTTGGCCTGCATCCTAATCATTGGGGTGTCAGGCGGTAAAGCTAGTATGCTCCGTCCAAAATGCATACAGTTAAAATGTCGATACCTTGCCCAAAGATATAGAGTACCGTCAGCAAAACACCGGCGTTTTGCCTGGACCACAAAAGTCCAATCCGGCGAACAAATGGCAGTGTGACTGTAGAAACGTTCACCATAACTCAGACTAGAAAATGAATATAACAGGCCATAACACATCTCTCAAAACCAACACGATAATTGGCGGAGAGTGGTTATTTGCTGTCAACGTTGCACTATTACGTACAAACGTGGTATATGAATACCTGATAATTCGTGCATCGTCTTCTTTAGAGGTGACGCGGTGATGTATGTACTTTGCTCTCAAAAGTGTATGTACGCTGATCCGTTGGGCTTTGATAGGACTGTGATGATACTCGATTTATCAATAAAGCACTGAATTAGCACGTCTTTCTAAAAACCAACGATGCTAGTCTCAAAGAGCGTCATCATTGATGTACCTATTAGATTTTGTCGGCTTTGGCCTTCATGAAATAGAATAAGGAGACAAGTCACATGTGTAGATTATCAGAACAATAGGTAAACAGATCGGTGTCAGGGAGTGGTCACAGTGCCGAGCAAATCGATAGGAAGAGCCGTACATGATGGATCCACTCCTTATTCTTGCGACCTTTTACCGGAGATAGGGCTAACACGTCAATTATCTCCGTGATTGCTGCGTTAATGCAAGTCCCAACCTCATAAAATAATACTACGTGTCACTACCATAGGTTAAGGATTAGTTTATAAAATATGGAATACGCAATCTTATCGCTATTTCGCCCCAATGATTAGAACATATATGCCTCCCTCAAAGAGATCAGTGAATTTTTATAAAGTGTATCAAATCCAAATAGGTAGTTAGTACTAGGGGGTGAGGGACTGAATAATAAACCACGAGTGTAGACTATCTAATAGGTTACGGGGGTCGACCACCCATCCCAGAATAGGCAGATGAAAAGTATCTCAGAACACCACACCTA